GGAAAGATGGCCTTCCGCCTGTTCGAGGAGAAGCAGCATGCCTCCGTCTACCAGAAGTTTCGCTTCATCCCACCAGAGGAGGTCAAGACCATCATCCTCGACTACCTGGACAGAAAGGTGAGGGTCTCGGGGCCAAGCGGCTGCAAATCAGGGTGGAGATTTCAAGCAGAAGGTGTCCTGCAGTGCAGAAAGTCAGCTGCTTTCCTGACCCTATTACATTATTGAGCACTGCAAAGGCGGACCTGACTTTATAAGAACATAAGAACAGTTACAAACAAGAGGTGGTCACATGGCCCATAAAAACCTCTTTGATTCATAGTCCCTCCCACTATTTGAGACTTTGATGTTGGCTGTATTGATATAGTTCATCCTCTGATCCTGTTAACAATGGTTTGTCATGGCTAATCTCTAGCTGTGGAATTAATGTGCAGCCGCTCTGCACTGAGCAAGGGAGTGTCCATCTCTGAGCACATTTGTCAGCAGTGCAAGAAGCTGATACAATTCAAAATGCTTTAGTCCAGTACATTAGCATGTGCTTGCATGGCCTCCACTGACTTAATATCTTTACTTTGCTTTGTATGATGATGACCTCTTTGTCACACGTCTCCACGCCACCTGAACATGTTTGTTAAATTAAAAAAGGCTCATGAATTCATGTGCATAAATTGTGTGGTCCTACTCTTTGGTGTTTTATAAAAAGATCTTACTTTTCCTTTCTACTGTTGTTTTATTTCATGTGTTTTCTTGTGTCCCAGTGTACAAAATCATTAGATGTCTAATGTGTAATGAGGAGAACGAGCACTTTAGCCCTTTAGTGCATCATCTTGCTGTCATTCTGTCCCAACATTAACACTAGACATTATGCATAATCTTGTGTACGACATGCCCTGGCTATCCGAATCCTTCTTGATTTCTGTTAATGTTAAAATTGTTAACCACACCTCCCAGTTATGTCTTTTAGGTCAGGATCTAGGTCTTGTATTAAGATTATAAAGAGCAACTGTCCCTGCTGCACCGAGTAACCCTGCCTGACATGATGCTGCTCAGACAAGAGTCTTTGTTTTCTTAGCAGGAGCTCCCAACCCAAATGCTACTGCCTTTATCCATCTGCCTTTCAGCTATCTTCTGTGTGTCTTGCCCTAGAAAGAGAAACCCCATGTGCTGGCTGTAGATCTGGGCTGTGGGACGGGCCAGAACACCAGGCTTCTGGCTCCTCATTTCCAAGAGGTGGTGGGTCTTGACGTCAGCGAATCCCAGCTGGCGGAGGCAAGAGCCGTGCCTGGATTCTCCAACATCACCTACAGGTCAGTGTGGATTGACCACCATCGCCCCCTACGGGTCGGCTTGTGCAGAGTCTCTCCTGTCAGTGCTCCACAGCAGCCTCACAGGGCCCTGACCTCTCCTTCTCGCCGTGCAGAGCTGGCAGTGCCGAGGAGATGCCTTTCCCAGACAGCTCAGTGGATCTGATCACAGCTGCATCTGCAGCACATTGGTTTGACGCTGAGAGGTTCCTGAAGGAAGCCCACAGGGTCCTCAAGCCACAGGGCTGCATGGCGCTGCTGGGCTTCGCTAGCAACATAGAGTTCCACTATGGAAACTGTGAAGGACGACTCACTTCCATCTACAGAGAGGTAGGGGAGACTCAGGCCAACACAGAAGATCAGAGGTCTGCAGAGGAACAGTTTATTCCAGGCTGAAAAGTAAACAGAAAAGACACAGAGTGTTTCTTTTCCTTTCAGCATGGGATGAACCTTTATCTTCTCCTCTGCAGCCTATGCATGCTGACGCAGCTCCCTATCCAAACTCAGATCAAGGGTCTTTTTTGTAACAGGACCTATGTAGACAGCTCCACTGAATCATGATTTACAATTAAAGCAAGAAGTATAATTGCTACACGGGATATATAGTTCTATGTACAGTTATCCTTTCAGGAAAATATATAACTAGGTAAAGTTATATATTTTCCAGAAAGTATAACTTTAACTCAGGGGACATGATGTAAGAATTACATAAAGCACGAGTAAGGCCTAGTTTAGAATATTGTGTTATTTTGTTTTAAGCACAGCATTTTAGAAAAGACATTGCCAGAAGAGAAGAGCAACTACATGCTTTCTGGGGATAATGAGAATGTCCCAACATCAATATATTAAAGGGTATGTTTTTGCAAATTCATAGCAGAATGTACAGATCCAAGCTGAAGCTGCTGTCCTATGTGGATTTAAACAGGTACTCTTGTATTATTTTCCCTAGCTTGAGGACGCCCTGTTACCATACACCAGCCAGAAGGTCACTATGGCTAATTCGATGTTACAGGATCTGTTTGAGGCCATCCCCTACACCGACAAAGAAAGGTAGTGTGGAGAATGAGGCCATGTGCTTAGAAAGTCAGTCTGGGTGCAGTGGTGTGGAGCCACTGTTGAACCCTCATTGTACCCCAGGCTCATGAACGTGTGAAACGTTGCGGTATAAAATGAGCAGAGCTGAGAAACCACTGGAGGTTGTCATCTAAGATCATTCTGCCACAGTAGTGCAGGTCTGATGTGGTAGGTTTCCCAGACCAGTGGATCTGCAGTCCTTTGTTTTGTGTGAAATGGCACGTTCAGCCAGGCCACACTTTAGCTGTGCCTGGAGTCCTGCTACATGCAGACATTCTATAAGGCTTACATGCAGGATCTCTGACCCCCCGAGTGATCACACAGCACCAAGCACATTGTTGTCCCGCTGAGCCCAGAACACAGCACCTCCCGCCTGCCTGATCCGTCCCTCTGTTCCCCTGTTGTTTAAACGGGAGTTTCATTTGAGGTCGGGGCTGGCTTACTGGAAGTGTGATCTTGGCAGGTTTTCTGTAGAGCAAGTATCCAATAGAAGTGGGATTTCAATTCATCTTCCCAGCACTACAAGAGAGAGTATAACTCCTCTGCAAAAGTGTCAGGAAATACTATGCACTTCATTTTCCACTTACTGTATGTGGGCATCCTGTCCCTTTAGAAGCTCCCTCTAACAGTGCCTCCTTCATGAAAGCATGATCACACGGGTGGACAGCAGAATGAAGAGCAGAGATAGTGGCTGTGTTAACACATTGCTTAGACACATGTCTCGTTACACAGTGCTGTGTCACTCACTACGTTGCTCACAGCTTCAAGTCTTATAGGACTGCCCAAGAGCGACTCTGTAAGGCAGGTTTAGTATTTGCTGTTTGCTGTTAGTGTAATGCATTCTTCAAATCTTTGCTTTTATCACAAAATAAACATGTGTCACTGTACTATGTGCATAGGGTTGGAGACATAGAAATGAACATTTTCAGACCGGTGAGCAGCGTTGTGGGTTTTTGTGAGTCCTTCTCGATGTACCAGGCGTATCAGAAGGCAGAGCCAGAGGCTGCGAGGGCGCTGCTCCAGACCACCCAGCAGAGGTAATGTGCACCCAGACACTCACACCCCCTGTCACCTTGTCACCCTCCTGCCACTCTTAGATCTGTACTGCCACAATAAAACCACAGGGGCCTGCTTTTCAAACTGAGAACAGGAGGCATGTGGGGCTGTGTCCGGATCAAGCTACACAGACACTTTGTATGAGCTGGCTCCTGGCTGACTATCATAATAGCAAACAAACGAGCTTTCTTACATTCGAGTTATTATGCTCATGTCTCTATGAACTGGGTATTGGAATTATATCTATGTATATTGAAACACCTTTTCCTGTTTGTTTTTTTACCATTATTTAGAAAAGAAATGGGATCGTACTGTGTGCGGTGAAAGCTTGATTGGATTAGAACTGCAGGCAGCCAAGTGAAATGGAGAGCCCTGTAATTGTTAATGGGATTCATTCTTTCCTTGTGATCTGTGTGTGTTTTATCTGCAGGTTTCTAGAGGAGATGAAAGTCTCCTCCCCAGAGACGGAGGTGGAGGTCAGGATGAAGTATTTCTGCGTGCTGGCCAGCAAGCCGCGCTAACGAGCCCAACACTTTTGTCTTTAGCTCCAAGAGAAAGATTTCCTTTTCTTCTTCTTTGGAACACTTCTGATTTTAGGGAATTATTTGTCTTTCATGTTTCGCCCATTCCCATTGCACAGGTTGTAAAACTCTTTGTCTAGCATGCTAAATGTTCAGTTCCCATGGGATTACATCACCCAGTAAGAAAACGTTTATTGAGCAATGAGGCAGAAGAAGCTTTAGCTTAATCTTTGCTGCAGAGGAGATGTGGTAGAGAGGGGATGGAGAGTTGAATGTGTGCAAGAGAGAGATGCTCACTGTGTTTTCCAGAAACTGGCATCATGGAAATTAATTTTACACACTGAACTTCCTCTACAGATATGCTCCCTCCAAGCCACGTTATTTCACCTCTAACATCCAGCGTGTGCAGACTCTCATTAAAGATTATTGTAAAGCGACTACAGCCACTTTTCTTTTTAGTTTTAATGTGTAGAGAAAAAATAGATATTTATATTCTGTCATTCTGCAAAGCGCTTTGAGAAGCCACCTTCAAAGAATGTTTGTTCTACATTCTTGATGTAGATGACATACCACGACAAAACGCCCCGACCCCATGTCGCGACATGGAGCCCGCATATCGCGATATGACATACCCCGGCAAAAATGCCCCCGCCCCATGTCGCGATATGACATGCCCAGCCAAAACACCCACCCCCCATGTCACAGAGTCCAAATATCGCGATATGCCAAAAACTGTCACGCCCATGTCACGACAGGAAGACCATATATCGCGATATGACATACCCCGACAAAATGCCGGACGTAGAGTCCATATGTTGTGATAGGACATACCGTGACAGGTCGCGACACAAAGTACTATCTGGGTCTTTCATGTCTTGACATGAGACCTTTGTTGCGACAGCGGTGCCAGGATGACATGGAAGCAAGGCGCCAGTCGTGATATACACTGCCGCGATATACATGCAATATACATCAGGTCCCTATCATGACATGCTGCGGAGGTCTTGTCGCACAGTTACGCGTTTGGTAACAGTGTCACGGTAAGGAAATAAAAGGAAAACCCTCAGAAAATAAAAAGCATCGATCTTCAATCACGGTGATTTTACATACATAACAAACACAGGTTTATGTCATAGATGGTTAACTTGTTGGTTTGCGTCATGTCTTAATTTTATTCACATCTAATCACGTCACATATCTTTATAAATATCGATTATCTTTAAAATGTTAAGGGTACGAGCTAAACTGTAACAGAGCTGTAACAAAAACAAAATGGACATCGTAATGAAAAACGTTCATGTTGTGTGCTGCTGTTAGTGTATGATGAAAAGTGACCAATTTACCTCAGTACTTATACGAGAGTATAAGAAGTCCTTTGGGGTAGACTTTTGGGGTCAGTTTTCAGACGAGGAACTGAATTCGTTATTCCTGTAGGCTGCAGTTTTTAAAGAACGCGTCCTCAATGTGTATCGCGTTACTCTAATTAGCTGGGCAGATTTTATTCGAAGCTGCTCCGCTTACTTCCTTACTTAAGAGGAGAGCGACAGCCGTCCACCAAGGCGCATCTGAACTCACAAGCTTGCACTACAGCAGGGGTGGGGAACCTTTTTTCTGCCAAGGGCCATTTGGATATTTACAACATCATTCGCGGGCCATACAAAATTATCAATTTAAAAATTAGCCTGCTATATTTGGTCAAACATTTAATTAACTCACACCTAATGTGATGGCTGGAACTGCCTCTCTTTGGTGACAGGTTTTCCCTTCACCTCCCTGAACTGCTTGACTTCATCCCGCAGTTCGTAAAACACAGTGTGTTAACACTTTCGCAACGTGTACACTCCCGGCCTGCCTGGCACTGACTGCCCTCTGAGTGACCACAATACAGGCAGACGGGCCGCGGGCAGCCGGCGAGAAGCATGCGTGTCTGTCCCGTCATGTACTCGTATGTGTCCTGTCCATCCCGTAATGGACGTTCCTTGCTTGTCCCTCCAAATTAACGCTATTATTATCACTTAATATAAATGTATGTTGCTATGAAAAAAGCTCCTAGATTTATTGAATTTCAAGTCCCGCCTGCGTAGGGCTGGGCGATATGGCCCAAAACATTATCGCGATAAAAAAAAATCATATCAGTTGATATCGATAATTATCACGATAAATGTCAAAGCATTATTTATTTCAAGTTTAAAGGCAGATTTTTTTTCTCCTGAGTGAAAGTTGAAGAAACCAGACCGTCAATGGGTGAATTAAACAACTCTTCATTTTAAGAACACATCACTTGCCAAACAGCAGAAACATTAAACAAATCTGTTAGCTGCCCGGTCTGCAACACGCACGCGCACCCGCGCAGTATGTAGTGCGCAAGCGTACCACGCGTAAAAAGTTTTGTTAAAATTATATCGCGATAATTATCGTTATCGAATAATATCGAATAATAGAAAAAAACATACTGTTAGATATTTGCATGAACATAATTATGCATAGGAACAAGGAATGTGGAGGAACTGGAACCTGTTTTATTGAGTCTGATTGATGCTTGTGACCTGATTCTCTGAGAAGCAGACTTTGCTGTCTAACCTTTAACCAAAGTTAGTGCTGGGTTTTGAAGTTAATCAACAATAAGGGAGCTGAAGTTCTGGAATCTGCGAAAACTGCCGCTTCGCTGTCACACGTGTTTCTCACATCAGAAGAGCAAGATGGCTCATCGTCTCTTCGAAGGCAAGGAACATGCCTCAGCCTACAGGAAATACAGAATCTCCCTGTCTGAGGAGCTCGTAAACTGTATCCTCACCTTCCTGCATGAAAAGGTAGGACATTAACCTGGATTAACCAGGCACTGTTGAAAGCATGTGTTGTGCAAAAGACTCGCAGAGATATTAACTGATATAGTCCGATCTGTAATAATTTAAAGTAGATATAAATTGGTCCTGGGCTGAGCAGCCCTGCCAGATCCCTGCTGTCTGCCCATGTATTGTGGAAAAAGCAAATGTTTTGCCATTGGACTGACT